GCTGGATCAACCCAGTCTTGTAGTAGCACGACGCCACGCCGTCAGACGATATGGCTATGAAATTCTCCAAGACCATGAATAGGCGAATTTCCGAATTCGAGCGGTCACTTTCAAAAACTATAACCGGTGCAGCAACTCATTCCTTTTATCTTCACTCAATAGAAAAAAACCAACTGTTCCCACTGGTCAAAATGCCTTTGTCATTGCACTATTTTCTGAATGACTTTATTACGTTCTAGTCCGCTGTTCCTGGAACTGGAGATTTTATACCGTTCGACACTTCCTTGAGTGAGATAATTCGTGTAACCCTTCCCACCAGATAAGGAGCCATGCTTACTCTTTTTTCGTTAGCAAATCTGATATGAATTACCTTCCATACAAAGCGTCCATTAGCACTTCCGACCACTGTATTATTTTTCCTGGGTCCAAGATTCACTAAAACCACAAAAGTTCAAACTCGGGTTATCGAGAAACTAGAAAGAAACGGTTTCTTTCACAGATCTTTTCGGTTTTTCCTACTCCCATTGTTCCTAATACTGTGAGCATCGTCCCAGATTACATGATCTTTGCAGTTTTGTTGGAACGGTTTTCGTACATATAGCCGGATTTTCTATCCCACAATTAGGCTGTTTTCGACACCAGAAAGAACCGATCCACGCGACTAGATGATAGGAATTCACCAAGCTTCTATCTTCGTTTATCACGGATGAGAATCGTCGACTCAGCAGGTTACAAACTGCGGACAGTTTTATTGATAAAAGCTATCACATGTGATTGATCATGCAACAGGAACTGCCACACCAATAAATCACCATTTGGATATCGAATTGGTCAATACATCGTTTTATCTGAAGTAAATATCCGTGGCTACAACCGAGTCGGTAACCCACTAGCAGTTCATCTAGGGGAGATAGCTGACAACACTGATCCCAAACCAACCAAGAAGAGACATACGAACCACACTCACTCACGCCTTCCGGGCTATGGTAGTGGTCACCGGCCCGATTGGGTATCGAGGTGTATTGGACGCTTGACCTCGTCCAAAGGGTGAATGATCCAATGAACTGGACACCGGTCTCCAACGTTTTGCGGTTGTCATACCACTGGTTAGCTGTAGGCTCCGGTTGAGAATTTCCCCTAGAAAATTCACCTGCTTTGATC